AATAGGGTCAGATGCCAAGAAACTTGGACAAAGAGGTAGGGTTTAAGAAGTGACTTAAATGTGGCAGAGAGCAGTAGAGAGCAAAATACTGAACTTATGGCCTAGACAACTGAAAGAACAACCATTAATGGTGAAGCAATTATGGTAAATAATGAGAAAGAAGCCAGAATTTATGGAGAATGGATACCATGGATAACCTCAAAAATTATGGCGTTGGAGAAGATTATGGAGATGGGGAGGGGCAAGGGCATGGAGGGATGCAAATTCTGAAATGAAGGTGCTGTTTGACCAGGAGCCAATGTAAATCAGCAAGCCGAGTGGGAATAGGGGAAGAGGGCATGCTGAGATTGAAGATGTGGACAGCAGAGTTTCGGATGCTTTCAAATGTACAGAGATTAGAATGTGGGGTATCAGCCAGACGTGTATTGGAATAGTTACAGATTACTAAGGCATAGAACAGCATTTCAGTGGCAGAGAATCTGAAATAGGGTGAAGTCAATCTATATTACAGTCGTGAAAAATATGGGGCCTTTCTTGATTGCACACACATGCAGTTAGAAGCTCATCTCAGAATCAAATTTGATTCAAAAGTTTGCAAACAGACTGACCTAATCTCAGAGTGTATCATTGTTAGGGAACAGAGTTTAGAGTATGGAAGGGAAACAATGACTTCAGTCTTCCCAATATTTAATTGGAGAAAATTTCCCCTCATCAGGTATTGGTTGTCAAATAGCAATCTAATAAATTAGTAGGAACTGGTAGGAACTGCTGATGCTGGAGAATCTGAGACAACAAGGTAGGAACTGGATGAGCACAGCAGGTCAGGCAGCATCAGAGGAGTAGGAAAGCTGAAGTTTTGGGTCTGGACCCTTCTTCAGAAGAAGAACCTGGACCCTTCTGAAGAAGTCTGAAGAAGGGTCCAGACCCGAAACATCAGCTTTCCTGCGCCTCTGATGCTGCCTGACCTGCTGTGTTCATCCAGCTCTACACCTTGTTATCTCTAATAAATTAGTAACTGTGGAGGAATCAAGAAGCTTGATGGTGATTTGGAGCTGGGCATTATCAGTATAGATGTGAAATCTAGCATATAGACATAAGTTAGGAAGGGCCTAACGACAGATACTTGGAGGACAGCAGAGGTAACGGTGCAAGAGTTGGAAAAGAGGTTATTGCAAGCAAGTCTCCAGTTACAATTAGATTGTTAAGTTTGGAAACAATAACATTTAGGACAAACGAGCAAAAAAAAAGCAAATGCAAAATTGGGTTGTCAGGATAATTTGTAGACATTGACCTTTCTTTTAAATGACTTTTTTCTCATTTACATTCTGCAAGCTAACTTGATTTTCAATTTTTTCTAGGCAGCAGACTGTAGTGTGAGGCAGCTAAACATTAAGATTGAGACTGTTGAATTTAGGAAACTTATCTTTGGCCTCCCAGATAAAATTGGGCTTTAGCTATGGGCATTAATGAAGAGTAGTTACCAAAGGTCAGCTTACATTTATCTAATTGGGGAAAACCTATGGAGAATATTATCACATTGATCATAAGGAGTTGGTTATTAGGGGTGTTTTGTTGCCTAATTAGAGTAGACCAACATCACTGAGAAAATACAGATCAACACAGAAAAGCTGTACCAATAAATTGTAATGGGGGAACATTAAAGAGACAATATTTCTGTTTAGCTTGCAATATGATATTCAGTAAAAGGTTGCCCTGACAGAACTATCTGACAATTAAAACCAGAGAGAGAAAAGTTAATGTTGTTATGCCTACCTTTTCTCATTATTTGCTTTACCACGGTGCATAAAACTAGGTTAAGACATCAAAAGACCAATCATGAATATGGCCTCATGGTACCATATACAAAATTCATTGTTGTCAGCAACAGTCTGTATTCAATTCTCAACAATTTTAGGACAGTGTCTTGGGCAAAATAACAAACAGTGGCTGAATTCTTCAAGGATGGAAGGGAGGGGAGTTTCTCATTAAGGACCTTGCTTTTGTGCATAAGTTGAACTACAGATGTGTCTGGAATTCAATTAATGTGATTCAAACCCTTGAATGGTTGACTGTCATATTTCTATTTCTCCAACATTTGACCCAATAAATTAAACACATATTCTACAAGAATGTAGAGAAAAGAGACAAAGGCATTATTACTTCGATTTAATTATTCATTAGAAAATGGTGTAGTGCCACAGGACAGGCAGCCAGTGAATAGAGCCGTTGCATTTAAAATGTGGGACAGGCCATGTCCAAGGAATTTTAGATCAGTAGTAGGAAATATAATGAAATCCTGACTGAAGAAAAGTAGAAGGATATCTAGAAATAATAACTACAATAATGAAGCGACAGCGTGGATTTCAACAGAAAAAACCTTGCTTGACCAAACTTACTCATGTTTTGAGGAGAGAACCACAAATCATGGTTATACAGAAGTAATTTATATGGATTTTCAAAAAAGGACCTCAAATTAGATTATTGGATGTTATGATGATGGGCAAGTAAAAAAGAAAAACAAAGCACTCGGTTTCATTTGTAGAGGGATCGAATCGAAAAATAGGCAGGTTATGTCAAACCAAAAACGAACCATAGATAGGTCTAATTTAAAGGGTACTAAACACATTTCTGGTCACCATATTACAAAAGCAATAGGGACACGAGAGGGTGCAGAAAATTTTACAAGGGTGGCACTGGGAAGATAGAAAGGCTGGAGCTCTTTTCTCTTGAAAAAGGAAGGCTAAGCAATAATCTAACAAACGTCTTTAAAATATGAACGATTTAATAGCAAGGATACAGAGAGAGTGTCTTCTCTTGTGGGGAGTGTGCACTAAAAGCTGTCCATAGGGAATTCAGAAGAAATGTTTTTATATAAAGCGTGGTGAGAATGTGGAAGTCATGACTACAAGGAATGTTTGTAGTGAATATTATAGATACATTTGAGGGAAAATTAGAGAAGCATATGCGGCTTCAGGGAATAGACGGTTACATTGGTAGAACAGAAAAGTGAGAGATGGAGGCTCGTGGAGCTCAAACATCTGCACGGGTCCATTGGGTTGAATGACCTGTTTCTTTGTCACATATCTTACTTAACTCCATGCACACATCAAATCTTGATAATCTTGTCCTAAACTTTGTTCATTATTTAACCATTTGTTAGCAAAGAAATAGAATAACTTGGATGGGGCCCTGAGAAATGTTGCTGAGTGACCATGACTGGTGTAGAGCAGGAACTTCCTGCATTCATCTGGACACCATTATCGCTTAACAGATAATCCCATAACTTGGAAATAACATGGCATTTAGGCTGGAGAAAATAAACAGTAGTATAGCCAAGTACCTTAGCAGTCAATATAAACAAACAGAGTCTTAAGATAAACAGAGTCAATTACAGGAATGCATGGAGCTTTTGATAATGATTTGATTAAAAAAAACTGTAGTAACTAGACACTTCCTCTGCTGTTCCACTTGTTGTTGTGTAGGCCATAGATATGCTTTACCTCACTCGTTCTCCTTGGAAGATTTGGTACAGGTGAAGAGACAGTGTAACAGGAGGAATTATGCACAGGACATCCAGCAATGTGGTTAAAAAATGGACCAGATTTTATCAGTAATGGCAAATTCTTGCAGATCACAATCAGGGATCTCTCATAATTGTGGAGTAGTACTTCCATTCTGACAGTTCTCTCAGTGTGCAGAGCTGTCAGGGGCAAGGCAAATTATAACCCCTTTTTCACAGCAGTCAGCTGCCATGTTCTGAAATTTAAAAGTCTAGAATCACTTTGATGGCTGAGACAAACATAAGCATATAAGTTGTGTGTGATTCTATGCTGTTTGGAGGGTAAGATGCCAGATGGGTAGTGTGCCAGGTAAGTAGTGTACTGGTGAGGAAGGTGTCGGGTAAGGGATGCAACTTTTATGACGGGGCTGGGTAGGTGGGAGAAAGCAGCAGGTTGTCAGGCATGGAAGAGGAGTTCGGCCCCAGGGTTAGAGGATGCAGAGACAGATTGAGTCTGGAGCGGACGAAGGCGGTAAGGGGATTGGATCCAAAGCGAGTGCGGCACAGTGGCACAACGATTAGCACTGCTGCCTCACAGCACCAGGGACCCGGGTTTGATTCCAGCCTCGGGCGACTGTCTGTGTAGAGTTTGCACATTCTCCCCATGTCTATGTGGGTTTCCTCCGGGTGCTCCGGCTTCCTCCCACAGTCCAAAGATGTGCAGGCTAGTTGGATTGGCCATGCTAAATTGCCCGTAGTGTTCAGGGATGTGTAGATTAGGTGGGTCATAGGGGGATGGGTCTGGATGGGATGCTCTGAGGTTCGGTGTGGACTTGCTGGGCCAAAGGGCCTGTTTCCACACTGTAGGGATTCTATGAGTGAGGGAGGGTAAGTTTCAGATCCCAAGCAAGGGAAGGGGGAGGCAGATCTGGAGTTGCTGGGGGCGATGTCCTGGGAATGTTTGAGTGGTGTATGTGATCTGGGGAGATGGATGTGTAGTTCAGGGTGTGAGAAGAATAGAGTCAGTGAAAAACTGATTCAGGAGTTTATATATGTAATAGTCTAACTTTTCCTGACTAACTACTTACCCTGAGTTCATTGGAACTCTCTGAATTCTTAAATGGAGATTTTCAGAGAATTCTAAGTGTAGAGTATCACCCAGGAGAATATTCAATTTCCTGGACAATTCTTTCAGAATCTGCGAAGATGAAGATTTCAGAGTCTCAGTATACAACTCCCATCTATGCTTTAATAACGACTGTCTGGCCAATGTGGAAAAGTGGAAGATCTGGGCCACTGTGTCCAACAATGCAGGAGTCCAATTTGAGGGAATTGTTTTTTTCTCTTTCTCACCGTAATTTATCAGGATATACTTTCCAGAAACCTTGGAGAGCGACATTCGGCAACAATAGAAAATATCCACCTGGGATCTTTCATTAGTTACCTCAAGTAAAGAAATTTTGGATTAGGTGAATTTCCATTTGACAGATCATTCACTTACTTGAGAGCCTGTAGAATAACGTCCAGGAGTTCGAGCACCAGATGTCTTTGCTGAACCAAGGGAGCTTTCTGTGCTTCTTTTACTGCAGCAGTGGGCACGAAAGCATTTGCCATACTCTTTTCTCACCTAGGCAGTAAAAACAACAATGAAAAAAATGGTAGTAGCACGGCTCAAACAGCGCACCAGATCTTGCAAAGTTATTTACAGCATCAATGGTTTCCATCAAATTATTATTCATTCTACTTATAAATTTAAACAGTGCTGTATTTTTGATGAAGATCAAGAAAGGAAATAGTTGCTGTTGGGTCAAGAGTCACAAAAGTCAAAACATATTTAGCAACAGGGATCACAATTAAAACATGGACGATCATAAGCAATTTCTATTGATTATTGGAACCCTAAGTCTAAGGCGTTACTCTATAGTTCTTCATTGCTGTGCAGCCCCATTAGTTTGAAGATGCTATGTGACAAAATTTGTGGATATTGTACACTCAGTTTATTTGGATTTCCTCCAGTGTCATTTGCACAGCCTTATTTATTATATTTAGACTGATGCTTGGCTGTTTGGAGACAACAGTCTAACTGAAAGATTTTTGCTGCTCCAGTTCATGATTATTAGAATTCCAAGATTACAGGCTGGTGATTACTTCCAGTTAATGTCTAATAACTCTAGTGCTTCACATTAGTTGGATGTTCTTGTCAGCAAAAGCTGTCAACAATCATTATGCTTCACATCCTGAAAATACAATGATGCTTACAGACAGCTATAGTATGAATGTAATGTTTTCAAATGATTACCCATAATTCTAGGCAATTACACGTTGCAAGCCAATGCTAAAATGATAAATTTCCGGAGTATAAATTCATCTATGTCATCATTTATTGTTATGATACATTAGGTCCATGCAAAACCCACCACAACACCAAAAATTCAGGATTTACTTCAAAAGTATTAAGTATTTCTTCGACCAATCACCAATAAATGGGAATTGGTTAGCGTACTTAAGTCACTTTATCCATTTCTACCCTATTTATATTTCTCCACACGTTGAAGTAAAATTCTGGATTGTCCTTTGTACCTTGCTAAAGTTTTGTTTCTAATTGAGGTGCGTCAGCATTACAGACTAATATCAGCATCCCACCAATATTTATTTCAGTAGTGTTGGCTAACCAGATATAAAATGCTGAGACGGTAGTCCTGATAATGAAAACTTTTAAATAAAAATAACTTAAAGGTGGGTCATGAAAAATTCAAGTGACGGAGAAATGGCTATTTCCTTTGGCAGCTAGTTTCAGTGTGGGCTTGAACATGAGAAAAAAGATTGTTGACACACTGTTTTGGAAAGGAATGATCTTTGTAGTTTGTATCAATAACTACATCATGTTTTGCCTTGCTGGAGGGCACCAGGTACCTTTTCCTGTCAATTCCCACGAGTCCATTCTATATTTTATAGAAATGATTGGCATTTTTTTTCCGACTCCTTTCCTGCAGTGGTTCCTATTCTGTAGCTTTGGTCAACATTGATGTATTCACCAAACTGAAGAACCTTTGCAGAACTGTGCAACATGTCTTGGGATTCCTTCAACCTTATTAATATCTTTTGCCATTTAAGGATGCCACACACAGCTTGCATACTTCAAGGTTGGACAATAAATGTTTGGCAAGCTGCAACTCTGGTATTAATGTTGCAATACTAAGGATTCTTCCTCAGAAATCCAATAATCCTGTTGCTTTGGATGTCATCTACTGAATGTGGAATTCCCAATGAAAACTGTTGGTAAGATGAACCCTCAGGTACTGTTGTATATCTAGAATCATAAGAATCCCTATAGTTTGGAAGCAGGCCATTCAGCCCATTAAGTTAACACTGACCCTCTAAAGTGCATCTCTCCGAGACCCACCCCTACCCAATCCTTGTAACCTTGTATTTCCCATGGTTAACCCACCAGCACATCCTCAGACACTATGGGCAATTTAGCATGACCAATCCACCTAACCTGCACATCTTTGAACTGTGGGACGAAACCCATGCAGACACAGGGAGAATATTTAACACCTCACAGACGACCAAGGCTGGAATCAAGCTCAGGTCTTTGTCACTGTAAGGCAGCTGTGCTAACAATTGTGCCACTGTGCCACTCTACCTATGGAGAATCTGATTATAGAAGTTAAAGCTATATATGTTGGTGGATCCTTCTTATTGATGTTTATTGACATAACAGTTTTTGGCAATGAATGCCATCTCCCATCTCCCACAGGTCCTGCCACTTTCACAATTCCAGAAGATCATATTGCAATGAATTGATGTGATAGTGAGTTTTCTGTGATGCATAAACCATACAGTCATCTGCAAACAGTAGCAACATTCGTCATATACAAAACCAGAGGCGGTGGTAAGCAGATGGCTCCATAAAATTACACAGCAGCTCAAATCTTTTCACAACCAAAGTCCATGTACATAGTTTCTCATGCTCTCACACATACACACTCAGGGGTGATAATGCTGATTTGTTCCTCTCCCAGCCGAAGAGAACTGAAGACAATTGCACAACGTCTATCAGCATCTCATTAACTTAGATCAACAATCACAGATTATGATGACTTTACTATAGTTAATAGCCTTACAATAGACTGTGAACTTTGAACATATTTACACATTGAGCATAACTGGAACATAGCATCTTTATGATCTGCTTGAATTTTAAAAATTGAGTAAATTAATTATTCAAAAAGTCAAAGGGGAGGGGACTGAGAAATGGAATCAGGTCATTTTGGTGCAAAATATTACAATGAAATTTACAAATGCAAAATTCTCTCTTCATTACAAACCAATCTCATCTGTCAGATAACAAGTTTAATCCTTATAAGAATGGTTTTCATGCTTTTTGTTTAGTTTGCCTAATAACATTTGACTACAAACATACAAACCTACAGGAGGTAAGATATTGCTTATATCTCATTATTTAGCTGCATTTAGTTGCACACTTGCTGAATTTTTGTTTTTAAGTTTGTCACTCAAATGGAAAATATTTAACTTTGTGATAAGGATAAAAATTGGATCCAATCTTGTTCAAAACTAATTGAAGTGCCGCTTGACTGCTGAAACTTCCTGAATCCAAGCCTGAAGCCAAGTTCAGTTTGATTACAGTTCGATGTTAATAGCTCATGAATTTGGTCATCAGGAGCTCAGTAATGTTTATTAATGCAAGAAATCTCTGCTCTATGTTCACCTGAATTGTGTGAAACGTCCAGCTATATGACTGCATTTCATGTTGGTCCATGTAAACTTGGGCTATGTTTAAGCAAAGAATATTTTTAGTTTTATATAACATAAGGGTAAAGTAATGTAATTTAAAAGCCCATCAGTTTAGTGAGAGTAAGTTGAAGTGCTAAATTAATAGCATCAGGGACCAAACTTAGGCATAAGTAAAGCATACAACAAGCAAAATGCAAAGATTGAGCTGCACAAGTACTAACACACACTAAGTTAGCCTAGTAACACAGCACTTTGTGTGCGTCTCCTAATACCTTAATGCATTAGATTCGTTCAAGTAAAGTCAGTTACCTCCCAGGGGTCAACTTCTTTTGGTCAAGAACATGCAGCCTATTTTGGAGCCACTGGGCTTGAGACACACAAAAGGGCTTCCAAGCCTGATTGCTGTTAGCATTGTTCTTGACGTCATGGATTGGGAGATACTATGTATGAGGGTGCTTGAAATTGTTAATATTTCCTATTTCCTAATTACAAATGAGATAAGAACATCATTTGCATAAGACACTGTCCATGAAACCACACCCTCACTTGAGTTAGTGTCTTCATGACAAAAAGAGAACAAGGCAAAACCAATACTTATATTTCAACAATTTCCAGGGCAGTTCTATGTTTAGAAGAATATGGGGAACGACCTGGATTGTGGTTATTAGTGCATAACTCCTGCAGTCCAAGAAATACAAGTGTCCAGTCTAGGACATTGCATTATAAGCTGGTAAGCAACAGGCTGATGTAGGGAGAGACACCCCATTGATTGGATTAGATATCTAATTCACAGTATGTTGAATAGATTCTCATTGAAGAATGACTGTCATAATAAGCAATTTGCTAACAGTTACAGAACATTTTCAGACTGCATATCGGGACAAAAACATGATTATACTTATGAATGAAAAGAGTAACATCTAGCTCCTATTTGAAACAAATTCTTGTTATTTCTTCCCTTTTGGTTACATTTCATTAGATGCCTTAGTTTTTACAGTATGAATAGTTTGGTACATAAAGCCAAGGATGTGCAGTTGATTTCACTTCAAGTCAACAGAGGCAGACAAGATAGTTATATCTGCTAACCTTTCAAGTAATAAACTGTAACACCTCTATTATCATGAAAAATGATCAAATTGTTGATCAGGCTGTGACAAATGAAACTTAAGAACCATTTAAGAACCTGTGAAGAGGTTTCAAAATATGGTTCGTTTTACGACAGAATAAGGATAAAAATTGATCTAATTCCATTCCCCCACGCCTCTGGATTCTTCTCCAATCTGAACCTTTTGAGATATCTCTGCTGCAATAATTCTTACCTCTTGCCAATTCCTAATTACAACCATTTCACCATTGGTGTCTGTTCCTTTTGTCCCTACCACACCCTCCAATCACAAACCCTCTCTTGCTGTGTTTTCCTCCTGCATTACATTGCTTAAATCCTAGTTCCTTGATCAAGCATTTGGTTAACTGACCTAATGTGAGTCAATATCATACCCAATCATATAATGGCCATGTGAAGTGCCTTGGGACATTTTGTTATGTTATAAGGTGTTATACAAATATAACTGTTATGACAATATTGGATTTCCCTAATCACAATACAACCTGGCTCAAGAGTGGACTGTGTGGAGGAGAAATGTTTGTGTTCTTTTGTTGGGTATTTGGTGGGGGGGCGGGGGGGAAGAGAGTGGTGAGGAGGACGAAGAGTAGGGGGGCTGTGGCATGATCCCTGACTTCCATTTTTGCCTAAACTGTAAATGCCATTTATTTTATTGAGCGAGGTAGCACAATTTGAACCTGAATTTTACTTAAACAGGTAACTGTTTCCAAACAGGCAAAAAGCTTCACAGATTTTGATAGAAACTGGTGATTTTTTTTTGCAGACATGTAAAATTAATGACATTAGGGGTCGGCAATGTGTTCTCATTAATAAAGAAATCATTACCTCCCAATTATCAGTACTGAATGAGGAGTGACAAGTAGTAGGTGGAAAGTTAAATGATGGCAAGCATAACACTCATAGAAAGTGTGCTATTATATATCTGTTACTCGTGAATCATCTGTGGTGCCATCACTTCAGCTGAGGAGAGGATTTCAGAGTGTTTCTATATGATTTCTACTCAGGTAATATTATGATCTATGCAGAATGAAAGGAAGTAGAGCAAATGATTGTGAAAATTTGGATATTCTTTTATGTTGCTTCTAAAGTTCATATGCACAAAGCAATCTAAGCCCCTAAAATCGACTACTCACTCCAAGGACGGGACAGAGAGTTTCTGCCAAGCAAACCCATTTAGGAGCATTTATCACATTATAGTAAAATGGCGCATAGGTACCCCTGATATCATCAATCCATTGTTAATTACTTGCATCTGCAGTGACTAAGAGTTCATTGAAACTATGCACAGATTGGTTTCTCATAGTGCTGCTACAATTACTTTAAATTCAATTTAAATTAGTTCAAGTTCAGTCGATTGATCTGTCCTTGGTACATGGGATCTGTGACCAGCAGTCAATTTAAAATTATTGATTGCTGTTTCTTCAGCTCCAGCAATTACCTGAACAAATTTTCAGTTTAAATTATTTAAAATTTAGACATCTTGAGGCTCCATTGACCATGTTCCAGTTAATAATCAATTATGATCAATAACACAGGTTGATGGTGCTGAAACGGGAGATTTTTTGTTCCAGCTTATGCTGAAGTGTTTGAGTTGAAACGAGGGTTTAACTCGAAAACTGGTGCAGTGTCCATCAAAAACTAGGCATGTTTTGCAAAATGTCTATCTAATGGAAACGCCAGGCCCTACAATTTCCATCTGTTGTCACACATTGTGACAGGTTCCAAAGCCACCTCTGGAGTAAGCAAATACAAGAATTGTTGTTGCCATTAGGTATCTGTTGATTTTAATGTATTGGTATTTCAAATCAATCAAAGATTTCAGTTTATCATATGGAGGATAGATCAAAAATGAAAAACGACAAAATATCCTAAAGTTCTAAGTTATTTTGGTGTGAGAAGATTCTTCTAACCTCAGCTTAATCTTCAATTTATAGCTCCCACCTCCTCATAATACCTCTGTATAGAAGCCAATTGTCTATGAGCAGCAACTTCACATTGTAATGATCTCATTAAGATTACAAAATACTTCAGAACAGACAATCTTTGTGCTGACACATACACATTAAATAATTAATAGAAAATTGATTACTCTGCAATTACTATTCCCTGACTTCAAGAGGTCAGAGTTCAAATAATAAACACTCAAATCTGAAAAGACAATTTAAGGATAGCTAAAGAAGAGTAAAGGTTAATAGCTGCAGATAAATAATGAACTCTGACAAATCTTTCCTGGTTCCCCTGTTGAACAATGAAGTGACTGACTTATGGAATATTGTAACACATTAGAATCATTATTATGAAGATCACGAGGTGTCAGCAAATGTTTTGTTCCCCTGCCCCAACACACAAGAGTTAGGAATATGTTTCTTTGACATACAAAACTAACCTTCTTCTGGAGGACACAGTGGAAAATGAATATAAACATTCCCTGCAGTGAGTTGAAAATGGTGAAGAGGTATGCCATGATAACTGTGCTTTCATTAATGAACATAAGTCCAAAAGCCCAAGTTAGTCCAAGGAGGCAAAGGAGAGCTATGGCCCCTATGACCCATGATCTGCAAAGAACGGAAAAAAAAGTCATTCAATATGATTGCACACTTTTCTTTCTAAGAAGTGCCTACTTTCATGAACTTTGGCTATTTAATTGAGTTTGAATTATGTAGAAAATTTTAAAGTCTGAAATCTATAACATTTTTCCCAGAGTTCATGTTTAATTGCACGTGGATCATTTAATCATGAGTTACAATAAATCAATATGTATTTGTTGATCCAGAACAAATTATTTTTTCCTTACACAATGGTACAAGACTTGAACAAAGAAGTGACATTTTAACATATTTGGTTTTGCAAGCTACTGATGTAAAATAAAATGGCAGCAAATAAATCTAGGAATCACAGTAAACTTAATAATCATTAGTAGTACATGAATCACTTCTTAGAAGTAGCTTTCAGGTAATGAGACTAATCGTTCAAACATAGTTTCATGAATTTAGGTCAGAGTTTGTAAATCACAACAACACTGTCAGGGAACACATCCCTCTTCCCCTCCACAATGACCCCATCCAACACTCTCCCCAGAAATACAGGGCAAAAAAAAAAAATACCAAAAGAAAGCTAATAGAGGAACAAAATTGGAAAAGAAAGAAGAAATAAAACAACGACAGAAGACGATCTATGGTTGGCAGTGAAAGAAAAAAAACAGCAATGGAGACTAAAGATCATTCCATGCAGGAATATGAATGACAACAAAGGAGAAGACTCTTCATCAGAAGAACAAACTGAAATCCTTAATCCAGTCAGCATTCTACGGAACAATGTCACTTCATCCAGAAGCTGCACGTTTTGAGAGAACTGATCTCGTGCTTCTACTGTCTCAATGTAGATTGCAAAAATTGCAAACATAATTGATTTTGTAAACTTTCAATTCTTCATACTTGATTACTGTTCAGAAATGTACATATTTACCTTAAATGCATCTTCTTCATTTTGATTCAATTATGCAATTTAAGCAGAACACAATACATTTCTGAGCTGTACGTAAAACGCCACAAGATTTTAACAAAGAATTTAAATACTTTGCTGCTTAGCATCAATCACTGCAGTAAATGCAAGAAGCTTAGCAGGCTTTAGTAGTTTTATAATGTAACTATATCTAGGTGTATATCGTGAAATATCAAAATGTGAAGGGAAACTCGAAACTGCTGATCCCTTCTAGACTTGTTGAAAGGTTAGCATTAACCCAAAGGATCCTTAAAGGGATTTGGATGTGATTCTCTGATTTGCTGCATTTATAAAATAGGTTTGCAGAACATCCTTAATAATCCATTTCTTACAAAAGCAACAGATATATGAATATGTTGGATGGCAACTTAGAGGAATCAATCCAGGTTGCTAAGCAGCTCAGCAAATGTGAATATCTAAATAAATGTTCCCTACACAGTTTGCTCTTCCGTCTCTACGCAAATGACAAAAGCTACAATGAAGGAAAATATTACAGAAGGGGCCAAGTTTCAGTACATCTCAAAAGGCCACACAACATGATGTTTGTAAGCCATTCAGACCATTCTTACTTGATGAAGGGCCTGTTATCCTCATAGCTAAAGAATGCATGGATGCAAAGACAAAAACACCAACATTAGAAAATAATGGTTCCAGCTGCAAATAATAAAAAAAGGAAGTTGAATAAACAGAACAGAACTCTTTCCAACCGCTCTACACCACCCAAGCAAATTGGCACATGGTACCGGGAAGCAGCTCTTCTTCATGATTAGTCCAGATTATTATTAGTGGTGATTACAATCAGCACCCCGACTGCTGAGTCTTCCATTAGCCACCCCAAAGGAAAAATGCTGTGGGCAGGCTAGAAAATGGGTTATGAATCTGGGGAATTTTAAAGTATTTCAGGAAATAGGTTTTAATAATCTTCTTTCAGTAAACAAACTCATTCGATCTCTCTCTATCAGCTTTGGTATTGTCACCATATACTTACTGCCAGTTAAGGACTCTGTGTAAGTGTGGCCTTAATGGAAGGTGCAGGGTTTCAAATCCATTGCTGACAACAAATGAAGTACTAGTTTTTGGGTTGACATTTAAGTAGGTGTTCTCCTCTGGCAGGTGTGATAAATATCCACTCACAATGCGAGTTATGGGAATCCTTAAGACCTTCCCATAACACAAGGTAAAATACATTGTTGTCTGTTATTTATGATTAAGGCCATGGGGAGTGTTCACTTTGTGGCCTGTCAGACTGAATTATCTCCTACGAGTTTACACTTTTCTACAACAGGAGAATTCAAAGTTAGGATAACAAATGCAATGTATCATATTTGAGTGTCATTAACATTCTGTTCTTTGTTTGTTGCATCTTAGACTTCATTCACCATTAACTGAGTTGTGATCAAAATATACTGCTCCTAATCATCACAATTCTGAAACACATAT